CACCAACCTTGCAGTTCAAGCTGACTTTGCAGTCCAGCACACTAGCCCACAGTGCTAAGACTATAATAAAAAGTCAGTTGTGCTCGTATAGGTTTTCAACAAAATCTATCAGCCAATGAATTCTTATGTTTCACTTTTCATCACCTGCAAATTTTCAGCCATGTTATATTTGTTCTTATTCAGTCTTGATGAACAAAAAAGATTTTATGGACAGACTTTGGAAAACAGATTGCCTTAACAAAAAAAGGACGTGGGGAAGCATTGCATTGTTTTTCATGTAAAGGAAATTGAAGTTTTTGTTTGATGTACAAGCACAATTTGTTTATTGCACTTCTCAGATACTGTGTTTTGTACAAGTTAAGGTTTGTGACAGCCCTGTTTCAAGCAGTCTGTTGGTGCCATTTTTCCAACATGTGCTTATTTGTGTCTCTGTTATATTTTGGTAACTCTCACAATATTTCCAACGTGTATATAATGCTATTGCACACTTAATAGTCTACAGTATAATGTAAGCATAACTTTTATATGCACTGGGAACACAAAAAATTCATGACATTTGCTTTCTTTTGATAGTCTCTTTATTGGGATCTGGAATTGAGCTCACAATATCTTTGACATGCCTGTGGTTGATTTAGAGTATTTATGTCATGTGAATATGTCTCCTTTATAGAGACAAGCCAAAAGAAATTTAACACATACCAAACTTGTGGTGATATGCCATTAGTTGTCATTTATGGTAAGACTATATATTTAGTTCTTAAATTCTGCTGAAAGAAAATACAAATTGAAATGATAATGATTTGCTCTTATTGGGAAGATTTTTTTTAAATGAACAAAACTGAGGCAATTTGGTCAAAGGGTGGAAGAAAATGTAAACTAATACTGCCCTTTTTAGAAAGCAATTTGAATGTATCAGAATGTATTAATATGTTGGGATCTATGTATGTTACTATAGAATAAGCATTGGACTACTAACCACAAGCTTGGTGGTTCAAACCCACCAACCGCGCCTTGGAAACGCTATACAGAGTCACTATAAATGAGAACAATCCCTAGAGCATTAAACAACAATTAATATGCTAAAATGCACACCCTATTCAGCCTAGCCATTATCTACCCTTAGAGTGGTACCTAGGCAGACAAATGAGACTGTGTCTTCTCAGCACAGAGTTTAGAGTCATGAAGAATTTTTATTGTTGTTAAGTGCTGTCAAGTTGTTACTGACTCATAGTAATCCTGTATAGGAGCAGCTGGTGAGTTTGAACCACGAACTTTATGGTTAACACTGCAGTGTTTCATGCAGCACCACACAACAAATGAACTTTCTTCCAAAGGGGAATGGTTAAATAAACTATCATTTACCTGTTCACTGAAATATGCAACAAGAGTTAAGTAAATAGATAAGTGTATAAAACTGAAGTAAATTAAAGCCATCATAGGTAAAGTCTAAGATGTGTTGTTGTGTGCCATCTACTCGACCCTGACTCATAGCGACCTTAGAGGGCAGAGTTGAACTACCCCATAGTGTCTCTTTCCTCGTATAGCATCTTTTAGGAACAGATCCCCAGGCCATTTCTCCCAAGGAGCTTCTGGTGGGTTCATCAAGCCATAAAACTAGTATTTTGAACATAAGGCTTTCAATGGGTGTGGAACACAAACGTGGTAGCACATGGAATTATTGATCTCTGTATATTTGTAGCAAAGAAGAGGGAAGAAAAAGACACAGGGACCGTTAGTCCCAAGGACAAATGGATTACACGAACCCCAACCTCTATGACCGTGAGACAAGAAGAATTAGATAATGCCTGACTACCACTGCCAGTCACTCTGAAAAGGATCAAATTAGCAGATCCTAGATAAAGTGGAAGAAAAATGTGTAACAAAACTCAGAATGATAAAAAAAAGATCAGAGATTAATAAAATTGACAGACCATTGGCAAACCTAACAAAAGAAAAGAGGGAGAAGACACAAATAACATGCATTAGAAACCACATGGGCGATGTCACAATGAAACCAAAAGAAATTAAAAGGATAATAACAGAATACTATGAAAAGTTATACTCCAACAAGTTTGAAAACTTAGAAGAGATGGATTCATTTTTATATAAGCAC